GAAAGTAACCCAACTATTCGCTGCTATTTCGCGTTTTGTATTGTTTGGCATACAATATACAATATTGTAATTTGTGCGACGCGTTTTTGAAGAACAATGCAAAATACAGACGACCAACATCCGCGCGGAAGAGATCACAGTTGCATTTAATTAAAAATACTTCCTATATTAATACCGGACAATATTTGGGAAAATGTGACCAGATCAAAGTAGAATTCTGTCTACGTTCACGTGGAAATTACATCCGGAAATTGCATCGCAACGTTGCAACAATAGTACGAAATCCACTCTCCAGCTCACCCGCTTTTTAAAAAATTCATGGGCGCTTGTTTCTGATAGGCAGTCGGTATTCACATGCAGGTTTTGTTTTAGTATTTGCTACAATACTAACCTTTCAATTTTCCGACATACGAATATTAATTGGTCAACCAAAATTCCCGAAATTATCCGTATGTGTCGCTGATATTGTCACTGCGGTCTCTGCAATATTGTCAGCGTCAAAGTGCTCAGCAGGATATTCTGTAATGTAGACAGCTGATGATATATCGATTGATAAATTGTTGCCGTAGTACAAGAAGCCACACAATCGTTTCAGTGTTGGATTGGGAGTACTGGTTAATAAGTTTTTAAGTTTTTGCTGCTGCTACCTACTTTTAACTAACAATAATGCGATTTTTGATAACAATTTAACATTGGTAAGAAAATTTACTCATCGAAATGGGATCAGTTTTTGGTCATTATGGAAAAGTTCTTAAGAGAGGTAATAGACTATCCATTAGGTTTGCGACTTAGGAGTTGGTAAGTCTTTTGCAATTTTGATGTTGTCGAACTTCCATTATCTTTATTTTTTTAATGTACACAGTATTAAGGTTAGACTGATCCACGCTTGGCAACGGGTAGTCCTCTACTGAAACCTTCAAGCAAGTTCTACATGAGTTCCGTTTATACTCATTCATTTTCTTAGTCCCACATGTATTTCCGATGGTTCCTATTGTTGTCGCCCGTTCACCATTTTTGGCACTCGAAATGGGTAAAAAAATAACGTTCTTTCTCTAAAACTAAAAAGCGAAGTCTGCATATAAAACTCATTTGGCCGCTGTAGTTGCGTTCTTACTTTTTCTGTTGTTTCATTTTTAGGATGGTAAGCTAGGTCCACTATGTCCTAAAATTATTAGAAAATCAAGAGAAACGAAACACCCTTGCCTTCCTGGTCGCTAGTCCAATTTTACTATTTACAAATCTTCTGAATTCCTCCTGCGTCGATTATGAATGAATCGAACTTGCTGACGTTTCTCCAATCATCCTGTTGGCTTCTTCAGAGCTTGACTGAACCTCTGGGATGACTGATTCCTATATCGGTGAAAGGTAAAGACCTGAGTCGGGGTTAAGATTGTTATATTGTTTATAGATTTCTATTGACTCTCGGATTTTTCGTTGGTAGAAAAATGGATTACCTACAAGAATTTTAGTTTTATCGAATAGAATTTTAGTCTTAGGGCTCTTTCATGTTCTTTGAGCCTAGTTGATATTTTTCGTCCGGTCTCTACAAAATATTCGTTGCCGCATAGGCTTGGAATGTTGTAAACTCCTGGCATCTCAAATGTAATTTTGTCTTTGACGGCTCGAAGAGATTTTTGGACAAGTGGTAAATCTGGTTTTGACGATATACTACTTTAGAACTTTTGATATGTCAGTGATGTTTTGAATGTAAAGAAGGACAACAGTGGCAAGTGTGGGAGGAATCCAGAAGTATTTGTCTAAATAATAATAATAGGAAATAATCCACTCTTCTTTGTATTTTTTTTTCATTTAAGATTATTATTCTTATCACTTTTGAGATTTTGTTAAAATATATCTGTTTATTCTGTACGTAAAACCTAATTGGATATTAGGTTAATTTTAAACATGATATAAAGGGTGTGTAAAAATTATCTGGCATCAAAAAGAGGTTTCGATCTAATTGCATTTTGTCAATAAGTATTTCATTTATTCAAGTTCTTTGTAAATAATACACAACTGTGATTGTTACAATGTACTGGTTGAAAAAGAGCATATTTAAAGAATGTAATTTGATTGAGAGTACAGCAATTTATGCTCACTCGTATGAAGTGTCCAGTATTTTGTCTTTTATCGAACGTTAAGCTTGTCCAATGTCGCCGGAAAATATATTCTTAGTATAAATTATATTATGATAGAGTTGTTCCCGAATTCGCATCTACAAACTCTTAAGGCATCGTGTTTAAACGTGCAGAGCGATATTCTGAGCAACTTTAGAAGTTACCCGTTTATTTTATTTCTCCCCCGGGTGGGGGAATAAAAAGACGATCTGCCCGCTTTTTCTCCGGGAATGCCTCTCTAGGCAAAGTATCCAGTAAATACAAATGAACAAACTGGGACCTATTATTGGCCGTATCTCAAAAATAAATCAATTTTTCGCGTTTTGTTGGGTTTGAAGGAAAAGCCCCCGACGTTACATTGCAGAGGAAATACAATTAAAGTTTGACGTAATTCAACTTATTTGATCTGCGATACTCTAACGCTTCACGAGCGAACTTTTTAAAGTTTCTCTCATTTCACAGAATTCGCTTACACTTTGTGTAGCAAAAGTCCAAGCGTCGAATGCACTCAAGTATTCATTGAACAAAGGATCTTAAATCTCTATCACCAGAGCTCAATATCTTACGTTTATATATTATATACTTGTGCAATCAAACGCTATAAGAGGTCTAGAAATTTCGTAAAGTTCCTCTTAATCTAGGTGTCTTTGTGTACTTTAGCTCAACCCTATGCTATACTTTTATAAAGTAGCTTTTGCAAATTAATTTTTTTTTACCTTATAACAAATACAACGCTCAAAGTTTTTTATTTTTAATTCCACTTTCAAACTCTCGTTTTAACTAATTTAATAGTTCTTCGTCTTCTTTCTCTTTCAATGCAGTTTCGCCAGCTTGTTCTACCAAAAATTTTCCTGGTGAGGATATCCAGAATTCATTTCTCGGTGCTCTTCCTCTGCACCTTCTTCTGACTGATATATCGTTGTTTGTCATTTTTGGCAATCTGTCGTTCATTCTGTTCACGTGTATGTATATATATATATATATATATATATATATATATATATATATATATATATATATATATATATATATATATATATATATATATATATATATATATATATATATTCTTTTTGATTCTTGGGTTTTAGGTCTGTGTATAACAAAAGTGCTCAAAAACACCATTAAAAATAAAGTCGACATTATCCGTCGGGACCGACGAGATACAAACTAAACGGATCGGAGATACGATCGGGTTTTTTTGTTTTTTTTTGGCGAGACTCGAAGGAAGGGCAACGGTAATACGTGTTATTAGTTTAGAAAAGACAAAATTTTATTGTTAATTCAACCGTTAATAAACTTATTAAAATTATTGTTTCAGGATATTGCAATATATTTTGCTTACGTTTTTGATGTCTGTTTTTGAGTTTGCAGCATTTTTGTTTTTTGGACTTCGATCATTTCCAATATTTCCCGTTTTTTTGTGTTGTTTTCGCTTTTTAAGATCTTAACCCTATCAAAATTAATGGAAAAGTTTCATCTCCGTACAGTGACTCTTCAGCGCAGTAGTATTTTTTTGCATATTTGTGACCATTTATTCTGCTTTTGAGGTATTGACTTGTCTGACCCAAATACACACCACAGTCGTTACATGGAATCATGTAAACAACATAACTTTTTTTCCCATCCCGTATTTTGTCTTTTAGTTTCCTATAATTGTTCTTCATTAGATTAAAACCCTTGTGAGCAACAGTAATGTTGTGACTTGCGAAAATTTTGCTAAAATCTTCTGACATACCCGGTATATAGGGAAGAGACAAATAGGTGTTTTTTTGTTTTTCCTGTTTTCTAGATTTTTTTTGGTTTTCGTTGTAAAAAAGATAGACGCGTTTTTTGAAGATATTGTTGACTAGTGTTTCGGGATAATTATTTAGTTCGAGTGCCAGTTTGGCTTTTTCAATTGCTGTTTTTCTGAAATCCGTATCAGAGAGCTTGATAGAACGGTCAGCTAGGCCAATAATAACAGATTTTTTTTGGTGGATAGGGTGGTTGGAGTAAAAATTGACATATCTGGAAGACCAGGTTTCTTTGGTGTACCATTTTGTTCTGATTTCGGTTCGTTTATTGTGCAGTGTCAAGTCTAGGAAAGTTATTTTGTTTTCGGATTCTATTTCTATTGTAAATTGGATTTTAGGGTTAGTTCAGGATCTTAATTGAAAAAGTGAAGTAATCATTCTATGTTGTCTAAATCTAAAAATTACACGAACTATATGAAAATGGGTTGCTCCCATTGAACATTTTAATAATTTGGGCCGCTTTTCCACGATGTTGTTCCTTATTATAATGAAAATGAATGGCCTGATAAAAACCCCTTGTCTTATTCTTATATTTATGTTCAGGTCTTCAGTTTTAGTTGAATTCTATTATTTGTTTTATGGTGAAAGTTGCATCTATAGTGGAGCTTTTTTTCCGATAACCTTATTCCTCCCTTCATTGAATGTTTTTGTCTATTTCTGTAAGTTAATACCTAATAACGGTTACTTAATTCATAGTTTTATTGTGTGTTGTGTATTTTTTATTTTTCGTTGGTTGAGTTGTTAGTCAGTTAGTTTGGTTGTGTTTTCATCTGCAACATTAAAAAAATATATTTGAACATGGATTTTCTTAATTGTTTAATTTCTAATATATAGGTTGGCAAACTAGACAGCATTTTTTTGGCAATTTCAACCATGTTGACGTTTACGTATTAAAATTATTAAATATTGAATCGATGAAAAACTCTTTAAATTTTGAAAAATTTCCTTATTCATTCATTTCTCAATAATAAAAAATAAAAACTTATAATCAACGAAACCCGAACACAAATTCGGTACGATCGTTCCTCTTCCTTTTTTTACGTCTACAAAAGACGCCCGTAGAAATTTTAACATTTTATTGATTCCAGGGACTTAAGTTTTCCGCCGATGTTCTCCCATCTTAAACATATTAGTCTCCGCCGTCTTTACGTACTGTCAAATGTTATCGCTTAAAGCGACAGGAAATTCGCCGAAATCCGAGCAAGGTAAGACCCCTTACGTGAATTTTACTCCGGCAAATCACTTACGCCTCATTGTTATAGCATTATCTCATTTTTATGTTATGCTTTATCCGAGTGCTTTTCGTAAGTTCTGAAAACCGTTTCTTGTTTTTTTTTTTATTTTTGTATTTTTGAACCAAATTTTTCGGTCCCCGTTGACTTTAAACGCTCCATGAAATAGTATATAATAATAATACACATCAGCAAATTTAGCACTCAACAGAAAACTTTCTATGTAGAGATACGATTTGTTTCATTTTTATTTTTGTCTTATTTAAATAATGATTTTTTTTATTTCATTACAATTGATGTATTATCTTTTACTCTAGTATGAAGGAAGATAAAAAAATTGTCTACCAAGAACACTTTTTTGTCTATAAACTTGATACAGTGATACAGTTAGAACTATGATACAAATCAAAATAAAATTTCGAAATATAACACGTCCTTAACAAAGCACGAAATTAATTTACTCTTATTTAAAAAATAGTTGTCAGTATATTAAGTAGTATATTAAGACGTTTTTTATTTACGACCAAGAATTGACTCACAAAAACGGAAATGTTTAGGATTTTGTATAATTTTTGCCCAAAATCAACACACCCTGCATCTAATTCAAAAAATGTTCGAATTAGAGGTAATAGCCCTCGATATCCTACGTTTTCAATAAGAGAACATTTTTTTTGAGAGACTATTTTTTTTCTGAAACTGTGCAGTACGCTGAAATAGTCCATGACGTCATCGTGACTCTAAACCTTCAAAACGATAAAACACAGTAAATGCAAAAATTTTAGTCCTTGATGCAGCCTATTAACCACATTTTCTGCGCATTTTGATTTACGGTAAATAATTTACTCTGGAAAAGAACAATTTTCAGGGATGTTTGTATATAATTGAAAAACCCCTTATATAATCGAAAAAATGCTTGAAATAAAAGTTGTAGTACCGGCTCTTACCCGTTTTTTGGTTAAATAATTTTGCCGATTGGGTTAATATTTTTCAAGAAAATATTTTTTCTCTGGAAGACAAAATAACCCAACAAAAATTCCAAAATGTTTAAAAACATACTTGGCGATATCTGTTGGCCCCTAGTTTCAATAGTTTAAATGTGGTTGTGGAGTTTTAACTTTCTGCTAAATTTGAAGTCGCTTCAAATTTAAGACACTTGTTACGTTTATTAATATAGCACGGAATATCTTGATCACCCTGTACAATAGATGAACACCTTGAATACAAAAATTTTAGCTGTCCATATGGGCTATACGACCATGTAAAAGAAACAGACAACCGAAACCTAGCCTTCTAGTTATGATCAATTACCATTATAAGGGGACCCCAATTTTCAGTCTTTTTCGAATACCGGCGACACCCTGTACATTTTTGAAAATTATGAAGGATAAGAGTTTATAGAATTTGATCTCGCCCATTTTATCGTTTGATAGCGTAAGGGATTTCTTAGACTCTTGCAAACGCGATTTTTTATTTTTTTAAAATAGTTCCCTTCCCCCCAGCCCCTCCAATTTTCCCCTTCCAAATTTCGTGTTTAATAACGATATCCTAAAAACAGTCGAAAATTGAATAAAAAAAATGGCCGCCGAAGTTTGACCGCGGCCATTTTCGCACTTTTGTGCACACCGTGGACTGTTTAAAAGGAGAAAAATGTGCACCGTCTAGGTTAAACTGTTCCCAAGTTATCGTCGAAAATGTCATGTTACAGAGGCACGGATATACAAAAAAATATTTTTTTTTCTACGCTGATCAGTTCTGTACCGAGTGCGAATATTTTTAACTTCGTGTAACCAAATCAACAAGCACAAAAGTCTAGCAATGTTCTCTTACAAGCTTAGGATCATGTCATGTAACAGGTAAATGATAATGCATGGAAACAATAACAATAAAATAGATAAACAAAAATAATACTTTCAATCGGCTTTAATTTCATTGAAATCAATAGAAACATATACTTATTGAAAGTTTTACGTTTTAGATTATGCAATTAGTTATTATTAAAATATTAATATGGATTATTACACGTTAGCTTTATTTATTATTTTGAATTGGACAATTCGATGACTTTATGAATTGACATCATTTGCGAATAATACAAAATGGGTTAATGGCAATTATTTTGTATATAAACAGGGCACGCGGGTAGCCTCTGCCATCGGTTTTGTATTAAAGACGGAAACTGAACTATATTTACCGCGAATATAGGTGAACAGTTCAACAAATTTAAAGTTGAGGCAGTGGGAAGCGTTATATATATTTATAATTCGTTGGCACTTTTGTTGCGAACATAAACCCATCTAAAATAATGAAACGTGCCTGTTGTAGTAAAAATAACGTTTGGTTTATTTCTAAAATTATTCTGATTGAAAACGCGTTCGATTTTTGAAACGAGTATAATGTAACTTGCAAATTATCGTACCACCATTAGCATTTAATATAAGCGTGAAATAATTTAATTATTAGAACAAAATTATTTAATTAGGTTTTTTGCGTTTGTGGTATTGCGTTCTGTTTAAATATGTCGCAAATTTCGAGGACCGTTTTTTTGTACTGAAATCGGAAACATCCGGACTGTTTTTTTTGTAAATTTAGTAGTTATTAAATCGATTTTTAATATTAAGCGCGGTAAGACCCTGGAAATTTTTGACGCAAAAACACGATAAAGAAAACAGTAAGCAAAACCTTGACATTTGATTGAACTTGACGTGCTTTTTTCGGTCTTGGCGTTTAACAGCTCTTGAGCGATGCTCCTTCGACGGTCCTTTTGTCCAAAATTAAGCAGTTTCAAGACAAATTCTACCGCTATAAGTTTCATGCCCAAAACCTCGGTAAAAATAGCATGGCGCCAGCGAATAGAGATGCCGAATTCTTCAGCCACTTGTCTAATAGTGATCTGACGATTTTTAAACATCATTTGTTTCACTTCTTCAACTCTTTGACGTACTGGGACGTCCAGAGCGCCATCGACGTCTTCTCGGCCATCTTGGAACGGCTTGTACCACTTATAAACATGTTTTTTGCTCAAAGTGTTTTGCAACACTGTATTCCATTTTTTACACAAATTTCTATTGCAAACTGGCTGAAGCTTTGAACATATCTTAGCGACATGTATCCCAACATAACAAAAAAAATAGCGAAGATCAAATGTACGTAAAAGTAATCATTAACTCGACAATAAAGATTATGCAGACAGCACCTCCAAGGCTTCTCTCAATTTAAGCTCAACAATCTTAAAAGGTTCTTTTACAGGGACATTGACTGTCTACGTCGAAGCTAGTTTGTCTGCAGGATTTAATTATATCTCTTTAACCATATCTATAAAACGTTTTGTGTTTTTAACAAATTTGAATCATATTTACCTCCTACAATCAAATTCTTAAACCTATAGCTTTACTAATTGCTCCTGCCACTTCTCTGGTGATTCCCAAGAGCTACTCAAAAAAGTCTCGTGGTCAATTATTTTTCCATTACTGTCTAAGCTTTCCAAAAACTCTGTAAATAATAATAATGAAATGAAACATGAATGGAATACTATCCCGTATTCATGACATTTCGGCGTTAATAGTGATTAGGCGGAGCGATCTTTAATCCCAATATTTCACACACACACCGAGGGGTTGAAAATCTCTTATGACTTTGCGTGTTGATGTAATCGCACTCAAAAAAAATAAACAATGACTCCTGGGGGAAAATGATTATTTCACGCAATGTAAGCTCTAGACGATTGTGTCACTGTCCTCAGGCGGGATCTAATTGACAGTGAAAAATATGCGACGCAGAACTCGCTTTTTTGCTTTTTTTCATTGTTATCGTCTATTTTTTTTTGTTTTTTTACGTGCGCCCGTTATACCCCTGGGAGTTTCGTCTATCGGGAGAATATTTTAGTGCTGCTTATTTTTCTATAAATCAATGGGGAAAAAGGAAGAACGACGCATGATAGTGCTGCTTGGAATTTATCGCGCATAAATCGGTAACGAAGTCGATCATAAATTACTTACGGTATTAATGAGTTCCCTATAAAACAGTCGTATTTCAATTTTATTTTATAATGCCCTTTACCCGTACAATAACTACTTCTCGAAGGCGATAAAGAAATTCCGCCTTTTCATATATCAAATAATTTCGTAATGCCGCTATAAAAATTTCGCTGACAGATTTTCATAGAGAAAAGTTGTCGGTTAATATAAATTTCCCTCGTAAACTATATTACATCCTACTCGGCTGCAACCAAATTACACGGAATATGCGACGTTTCAAAGTTTAACAATCAAAATTTTCAGGTAGCCGCAAAGATGAAAGTAACAATTCAAAATTATTTTCAGCCTGGTTACTTACGAGTAGTGCGTGTTTCAGCTAATATTCACTTGACTCCATTGGCGTGCGTTTTAATTGCCGTTCAGATTAATAATGAACAATAAAACAATATTGTATCAATGTGTATGGAATAAAAACTGTCAAAATAATCATGAATAAGGCCAAAACTGCCTTTTTTCCCCAATGCAGTATGGTGCGAACTCTGTTTATAGGTGTATTGATTTTTCTAATAACATCCGTATTAATTAATTAATTAATTAATCTTTAATATTAACATAGCTTAATCAAAATAGCTTAGATTTCTTGTTGTTTACAGTTTTCTTGCCCTATAAAATTTCATGTAATATTATTAATATTTTTAAGAGTTTTTATCTGAATTGTCAATATATTAATGAATATAATTTCGTCTCGGCTCTGGGTCACTGCTCATTTGAGCAGTTATCAATATTTTTTTTAAACCTCTCTCTGGTTTTAAACTATTTATTGTAGGCCTCTCTTTGGTAGGAAATATTTTTTAGCTTTTTAAAATTCATTTGGGTATACTTCAAAGTGGGCCTTTCGTTATTGTCACCCTTATAAAAATGTTTAAATGTGTAAATATACAGTAAAGTTTAAAGATGATTCTGTAGCTTTATTTTAAAGTGATTTTTATTATCTTGCAA